AAGCCAAGAAAAAAAAAAAAAAAGAGCTTTAAAAGTTTTATGTATAGGCTAACATTTTGTCTCACCAGGGTGTAGCCATCATTTCAGAAGTGACTTTTATTTTTATGTAGGCCTATGTATGTATTATTATTATTATTATTATTTTATTTTTTTTTTTACAAGGAGTTATTTTCTTATCTCATACTTTGAATTTTCTATAAGACATCAAATACACTGCTGGACAATAATCAATCATTTGTAATCTATAATTTTTTTTCCTAATAGCAATTTTACGATTGTTCTACAAACGATTATTCAAATTTTCTGCACAGAATAAGGTAGAAAATATACTTTATAGTTTCTGTACTGTAATAAATGATATGTCAATTAGCACTGCATCATTCATAAATTGTATTTATTTAATGTGTTTATTGTCTTAACGTTTCATCAGTTCGTTCTGCTGTGTATGCAGCTTAGCTGCAGATATAGATAGAAATTGCGATTCATTCAATTCTTCGCGTTTTAAATCGATTAGCCTACTGTCCGAAATCGACGATTCACGATTCAAAATCCATGTTCAAGATATGCATATGCATCGTCAGGGTTTGTAATCGATGCATCGAGAAAACGAGTGAATCGTTACACCCCTGTTCACATGTGACGTTCATGTGGTTTTTCTGTAAGGGACCGCGGACCAGGGGTCTCTAACGAGGGCCCCGTTCACACAGCTCTTTAAATATCAAGAGTTTATCCTTGAATCCAGCCCAAGCAAATCAGTTTTCACTTTCCACATTGTGGTTTGGAAATAGTTTTCCTAAAGGACTTCTAAACAGAAGCACACCATGGTTTTCAATCCTTGTGCCCGAGAACATCAGCACAGCACATTATGTACATTTCACTTATTTAACACAGCTGTCAAAAAAAAAAAAAAATTATATATATATATATTGTGAAAATGTTTGCCATGTAAACAACCAAATTATGCACATGTACTCGTTATTTTGGCCATTAAATGTTCGAGGTATATTCACTCACTAGATTAGTTTGTTTTGGACTTTTATTTTGGCATTTCGCGCATGCGCAGTTCAGCAGTGTGACAACAGTTTCGGTTTTAACAAGTCAAAACGTGGCACCAAGCCGAGGAGCAGACACGGTTAGTTTATTAATTTGGTTACTTTTATAAAGTCCACACATGTTTTGACATGTGTCAATCACTAATATAACGCTAAAATCTATAAATAAACGTCAACAACGCATCTCTGTCCGTTAGGATGATGGCGACCTCTTGTGGACTACTTGCGCTTTAATTTTTTTTCATCATTTACTTTACTGTTTTATAATAAAATAAATTGAGTTAATTTATTTTATTAAAATTTTATATATTCCAGTGGGTTTAAACGGCGGTTAGTTGTCACACGTTTATAATTAACATTATATGAGCTCATCAGTAGCGCATTTTACTTATAAAAATGAGTGTAGAATTAAAATGCACTCGGTTTCAGTATCTAGTGTACACATGACTATAGATATTAAAGCAATAATCGCCCCGCCTGTTAATAAACACACAGGAGTGAGGAAGCTATTTCTCATCTGTCACAAACTCTCGACTTGAGATGGACTGGACGTGTTTTTGTGAGCTGCTCATATGCATTTCATATGTTAGTTCAACAAAATTACATTATGATGCACGAGTGACGGTGAAAAATGAAGGTAAGCTCATATTTACGCCAAATATTTCATCGGTTTTATTCTCAAGATCATCGTTCTGTGAAGAAAAAGACTAACCAATTATTTTAGATCATGTTATGTTGAAAAACAGGCAAATGTTTATTAATAATGTTATGCTAAGATCCAAATGTAACGAACTTTGGTACAAAATCGGTAAAATTGTAACATTTTGAAGTCCCTTCAGAGAGAGAGAGAGAAACATAGTAACACTTTACAATAAAGTTCAGTAAACTAAGCATGAACAACACTTCTACAGCATTTATTCATCTTAGTTCATGTTAATTTCAACATTTACGAATGCATTATTAAAATCAAAAGTTGTGCTTGTTAGGTTAGGGATAGTTAATATTAGTTAATGCATCGTGAATTAACAATGAACGACTGTATTTTCATTAATTAACAAATATGAATAGGCTAAATACTGTAATGCATGTATTGTTCATTCAGTTAATACATGAACTAATGGAGCCTTATTGTGAAGTGTTACCAAACACATTTAGTTGAGTTGAAATCAGTAGATGAATACACAGCAGAAACAGCACAGTTTTTAATGGATTCATTTTATAGTCACATTAACAGGTTAAAGGAGTTCAAACATCATCTTCTTCCTCTTGTGTGTGAAAGCCTCTTCATTTTCACACGAATTTTAACAGAACTCTATCTTAACCACCCATGCAGCCACAAACCACTCGGGTCTCTTATCTCAGACTCACTGCTGGCTCTTCTGCACGTTTGAGTAGAATGGATGTATATTAATGTACAGGAACTGTATCTATTTATTTACAAATCTACACACTTTATAATGCAAGTCTCTGTTTCAGGTATAACCAGGTTTTCTTTTGAAAACAACAATAATATTAATTTGGTGAAGCTCGTCACCTCTGGAAACAAAATCATATGGGTCGGAGGAAACAAGGGCCTCTATTCAATCGTCCCAACACAAGCCTCCAGACCCCATCAGGTACCTCATGTACAGTAGATCTCAGAGCGTAATTTAACATCTGAACACTTCCCATCGGCTGGTGACTCTAGAGCAGGGGTGCAGGAGCACCGGAGCCCTGCAGAGTTTAGCTTTAAACACACCTGATCCAGCTAATCATGTCCTTCAGGCTGATTTGAAAACTACATGGGCTGTGTCTGTGTGTGTGAGTGAGTGAGTGTGTGTGTGTGTGTGTGTGTGTTGGAGCAGGATTGGAACAAAACTCTTCCTCCAGGAACTGTGTATGACCTGCTCTAGATCATTTGCCAAGAGAAAGATGATATTTTACATTAAACAGTTATGCAAAAGCTCATGTACTGTAACTTCTCCAATGCAAAACATTTGAAACATTGAAGAAAACAAGCTATTCTTATGAAAGTCACTTATGAGTTTATGGCTTGATAAGCAAGCATGAAGACATCACTTCTGTTATGATCTCATATTTACATACTGTCATAATGTTGTTTGTAATATGATATCTTCGCTGTACTTGAATCCTTAGGTGAATGTGACTCTTTGTAAGAATGAAAGCAAAGATTCAGACACTTCTGTAAGTATTTAATGTCTAAACTCTGTATTTTTTATATGAATGTCATCTTTTGATTATGTTATTGTGAAGCACCTTGGTCAGCATTAATGTTGTTTTAAGGTGCTGTATAAATAAAAATGACCTTGACCTAAATGACCGATTAAAGAACAGAAGATGTTTATGCAGAACTTCTGATATTCAGGCTTCCCACAGGATCAGGTTTTACTGAGTGCGTTTACACTGTTGTCTGATAATCAGAGACAACTGGTTTATTGAAATAACCTGTTTTACTAGTTTACACACAAATAATGAACAAGAAAACCATGTTTACAAGATGTGAAAAAATTAAACATTCAGGCTATTTTCTAGTAATAGCATCCCAATTTGTTATGTGAATTTCTGTGAGTGTACGACTTCTCCTTCGGCTGCACAAGATGTGAACATACTTTTATAAATTCTTTGGTCAATAATGTACGATATACACTGCCTTTCAAAAGTTTGGGATCAGTAAGATTTGTAAGGTTTAAAAAAAAGTCTCTTCTGCTCATCAGGCTGCATTTATTTGACCAAAAATACAGAAAAAACTGTAATATTGTTAAATATTATTACAATTTAAAATAATGGTTTTCTATTTTAATATAATTTAAAATGTAATTTATTTCTGTGATCAAAGCTGTATTTTCAGCATCATTACTCCAGTCTTCAGTGTCACATGATCTTCAGAAATCATTCTCATATGCTGAGTTAATAAAAGTTTGCTGCATAATATTTTTTTTGGAACCTGTGATACTTTTTTCAGGATTCTTTGATGAATAAAGTTAAAAAGAACAGCATTTATTCAAAATTGAAATCTTTTGTAACAATATACACTACCATTCAAAAGTTTGGGGTCAGTATTTTTTATTCTTTCTTTTTGAAAGAAATGAATGATTTTATTCAGCAAGGTTATGTTAAATTGATCAAAAGTGATAAATCAGCATATTAGAATGATTTCTGAAGATCATGTGACACTGAAGACTGGAGTAATGATGCTGAAAATACAGCTTTGATCAGAGAAATAAATTATATTTTAAAGTATATTAAAATAGAAAATCATTATTTTAAATTGCAATAATATTTCACAATATTACATTTTTTTCTGTATTTTTGGTCAAATAAATGCAGGCTTGATGAGCCGAAGAGTCTTCATTAAAACACATTACAAATCTTACTGCGCAGTGTATTTTCGAAAGCATTCGAATTAAGGATGATTTCCTGTCACGTCACGCATGCGCACTTCATTAAGGTTCAATGCGTTTACATGAACACACATTTTATTATGCATAAATGAACATTGATATAAACATGCTGTTTCAGCTTGTGTCCCATTCAAGGTCACTGACTGCTGTTTAACTGTTGATTTTTCCAGCACTGTTCATACAGGATCTCTCTGCTCAGAGAGGGTGTTGATAGAAATCTCCTGTTCATCTGTAGATCGCATGATGGAAATACGGAGTGCTGTAACTTGGTATGTCCTGTTTTTACTGTATGCATTATAAACCTGCGTGAAAGCATGAAACTGAGCCATGCGTTTTGTTCCAGAACTCCAGCTATTCTCAGATCGACTGCTTCATGTCAGAAAATTATGAGCCAGATATTAATGAGCCGTCATTACTTGTTGGTGAGTATCGCACATTGGGTTGATGCATGCATTTGTGTGCATGCATGTGTGCACACATTCGTGCTGCAGTTTTGGTGCACGAATTAGAATCGCACAAACAATGATAGTTTCATTTCTTGCTGATATTGAAGGGCTGCATTCAGCGTCCAAATGTATAAGAAATGGTGACTATGAAACATTCTTGACCACCCACTCAGATGCTGTGACAGTGACTAGTTTATTGTTCGACACATAGCTGAGCACAGTGGCATATTATTATTTAATATTAGAGTCAGGAACATATCGGGGAGGCTGTGCTTGGTTTGGTTTCTCAAACATGAAATGGTTTTAGAAGTGCAACTGTTTTATTTCTGGCTCCCAGCAGGTGATTTGAACTGAAACAATTTTTTGGTAAAGCTGCCGTTTTTGGTGCAAAACAGCGAGTGGCTGCAGAAATAGTCAAGTAAAACTCTTGACAATATGAAAGTGTTTCAACGTGACGTCACATTGCTTCAGGAAACCGCAGACATGTTAAAACCCAGTACTTCTACTGATGCCCATAATGCAGTTCGTGCATTTGCATGATATCATTTATTGCGGATACTACATATAACTGATTGTTAATGTTCAACTCATAACACGACCGATATCATGTTAGCAGAAAACTTCCCCCTCATGTCATTTCCAGACCCATATGACTTTTTTCTGTAGAACACAAATGGAGATGTTTAGCAGAATGTTCATGCTGCTCTATTCCATATGGCTGTCAAGCTCCAAAAAGCACCATGAAAGTATTTATAACAGTATGCACTTGTGATGCACATGTGATGCATTGCGTGAGGAGACTCAACAGAACATCTTGTATTGAAAACAGCAGATTGGACATTCTGCTATAAATTAAGGGTGCTCCGATCAGGATTTTTGGAGCCGATCACCGATTATCACCGATACTGATCTGTTTGAAGCCTTCTTTTTATCATGTAGATTTAATTTTAGTGATGCTCCAGTCAGGATTTTTTACAGACATTATTCATTCAGAGCCTGAATTTAATTTGTGAAAGTGAGAGGGATTCTCCTCTTAGCCGACTCTTGTAGGGGGCTTTTTTTTTTACATTTTTCAAAAATATATAATTATCTCACCTAAATGTTTGATCATGCAATGCATTTTTGTTTTTTACAATGGGGCGGCCTTATGTGTGCACGCTTTGAGTGTGCATGAAGAAGAGAAGAGCGCACGAGTGCTGAATGCTTTAAACACTGGCAAGACTTAAAAAGAAATGCAAATGATAAACTTCAGTGATGATGTGACACCGTCTTGATTTTACAAGTGACAATTCTCACACTCACACAGTCAAGTCTCACAGCATTCAGAAGGTTCAAATGGTCATTTTGGTTGTATTTACAGACAGTGTCTGACAAGGAGGATGTAAATTGGCATTGCTTCTTCAACACAAGCGCTTTTCTGTAATGCAGTCTTTAGCTCAGCGGTTTTGTGATGAGGAACTCACAGAGGAACTAGATCTTTCTGCGTGTTGGTGGTCTATAGAGATTGTCTCCATATATAGATCTGTACAGACTAGGGATGTGGCGGTGATGGGGGGGGGGGTTAACGAACATGATTGTGTGTATTTTTTTGTGTTTTAAAAATGTTATTAATTACACAATGTGCCGATTGATTAATCAAATTAATCTCAAATTAATTAGATTAATTAGTACATCACGTGCTGATTAATTAAAGTCATTATTAAAGATCATTTAAAGTCATTAGAAAAGCACTGAATAGACATTGCAAAAAAAAAAAAAAAGTAGCTTAAGAAAGATTTAGAGTCAACATACAAAAACACAAACATACTGTATTATAGCCTATACTACTCTAAATATAAAACTAAGGTGACGGCAAATCACTGGCTTAAAGGGATAGTTCACCCAAAAATGAAAATTACCCCATGATTTACTCACCCTCAAGCCATGCTAGGTGTATATGACTTTCTTCTTCCAGACGAATGCAATCGGAGTTATATTAAAAAACGTCCTGGCTCTTCCGAGCTTTATAATGGCAGTGAATGGGTGTTATTTTTCAATAGTCCAATAAAGCGCATCCATCCATCATAAAAAGTGCCTCACACGGCTCCAGAGGTGAATAAAGACCTCCTATAGCGAATCAATGCATTTTTGTAAGAAAAAATATCCATATTTAAAACTTTATAAACCGTAATCTCTAGCTTCCGCTAACTGTTGTACATGCGTTCATTCCGGCGGATAATAAGTGTTTAATTAAGTTTAAACAAGTTCTGCATAAGTCCATTCATCCTTGGCCTGGGCGATAAAACGGTATCGATATTTATCGACGGTACACCTTCTTCGATAACGATATAAAAAATGTTCGATATAGTGCTCGATATAGGCACGTGCTCCGAGTGACGCAGACAGCACACACAAATACGAACATGAGTGCTGTGCCTGCCTGTGATGA